GTTTTCTGTTGCTCGTCGAAGGATTTTTTGTTTTTCAAAATTACTTTCTCCATGCTTCTTTTGCATCTAGAATGATTGTGCAGTGTTTCCATTAATTTTTGTTCAGTGTTATTATCATTGACGAAGCGCACGAACGTACACTTCATACAGATGTACTGTTTGGTTTGGTAAAGGATATTGCCCGATTTCGAAACGATATCAAACTGCTCATTTCTTCGGCGACACTTGATGTCGAGAAATTTTCAACGTTTTTCGATGATGCACCGATACTCAGAATACCTGGTATGTCAGACGTGCAGGATTCTTTTTATTGCATTCAAAATGTTTTTTTTCTCTCTCTCTCAGTTCCTCGTTTTTGATCACTTCGGTTTTCCCTTCCAGGTCATCCTTTTTGTGAGAATTTCCTTATTTTTGTTTTACTTGTTCAGTTACCAGAACAGTCTGTGTGATTACTATGTATTATCCTTACTTTACGTGGAGATGTGCTGGGTCCTTTATTTTGAACTCGGCAGTGATCGTTAGTTCTTTGGTAGCAAGTATCACTCACTAATGCGCATTGTCCACTGGCTGGCAGTAACACGAACAAATTACTCACCCCCTTCGTCCTCCTGCCTTTCTCCTCCACTCATGGCATATCCACATTTGTCCTTGAACTTAGTGGAATCCTGTTCGCTTCACATCTGACGAAAAATCTGATTGTTGAAACGGACAAGAAGAGACTCTCCAAGCAGTCTTTTGCTCGTTTGCTGTGTCCATCTTTGCAGAATTGAGCTTGTCCTTTCAGCTTAGTAAATCTGCGTAGGTGGATCTGAGAGCTCTTAGCTTTGCCCAAGCATCAGCTTCGTAAAAAGTGAAGCCCACTGCTGCAGACGGGCTTTTATAAGGCAATTTCCCATGCATAAGTTTTTCTTTTTTTAAGCCTGGTAAAATTTGCATTTGTCATTTTTTGCTTTAAAATTTGTGCCAGTCGGCAGCTCTTTTTGTGCTTTGTAAAACAATGATAAATGTTTGATTTAGACTGTTTGATACCGGAAGTTTTTCAGGCCGTCGTTTCCCGGTGGATATCTATTATACGAAAGCGCCAGAAGCTGATTACATTGATGCAGCAATGGTTTCCATACTGCAGATACATTTGACGCAGCCACTTCCCGGCGATATTCTCGTTTTCCTGACTGGACAGGAAGAAATTGAGACATTAATGGTCAGCTCATTTAGCAAGTTAGCCCACTTTGGTTTAGGAGTAGTAGCTTTCGAGACAGCGTGCTGTAGTTCAACACATGCGAAGGACACTGCAGAACAGTCTTGCCAAGCGCTGTTCGGAGAACTGTTGAAATGATAATCCCTTTAGGAGACGAAACTAACTTATAATCGCCAGC